CAGTCTAACGGATAAACAATGTTACAGAACTTATATAAATGTAAACAAAATTTATACTTATGATCACTTTTGTCCGCCAAATGTTTCTTTTTCAATTTTTTTTATTGGATCACAAAACCGCTAAACCTGCCCTCCACAAATTTAAGCAGTTATTTATTCTGTAATTTATTCTTGTTTGAATGTTATTGAATGCTTTTTTCTCAACAACTGAATTATCAGTTTTGGCATTTTGGCCCGTATCTTGACAACAGTTGGACCTGCCTTGAGGTCTGTTTATCGATATGAATTGAATCATAAATCGGTTGATCCGTGCTCTCGAAATCGACTTAAATAATTAAACAATATTATATTTCTATTGATGGGGAGACGTGCTGATTAGCTTTTGGTACAGGCAATTACGTAAAATGGAAATTGAGTTTCGATATTTCTTCTCTTCTTTGCAAAAAGTTCATAATTTTCGAAAAATTTCAAAATACAAAAAATGTGTTTTAGAAGTATTTTTTTTCATTTTTCAATAAATGTTGAAGCTCTTTATAAAATGTAATTTTTAGTAAGTGATGTTTCAATAATTTGTCTCAAGGCACAATGCCATGAGTCACTAGTTTAAATTTTTTTTCGACGCTATGAGCTTGGAAGTGCACAAATACGCCATTTTAAGAGGGCTCGAGAACTGAAGAACATATTTTTCTTAAACTATCAGCTTGTTTACGGATCTTTATATTAGCCAAATTGCCAAATTTGATGACTTATTAACCAATTTGATAATTTGCGTTCGGAGAGGGAGAGGCAAGGCAAAATAATAAATTTTAGTTATCGTTTATTTCAACCTAAATTTTGCATTGCAATCATATTATGTTTTGTTAATTATATTTCTTGAAATAAAAAATGTTGTTAAAAAGGTTGATCATATTGTATAGAATTTTTTTCTCACTATCCAAATTTTGCCGCCCCCCAAAACTTGCCGCCCTGGGCAGTAGCCCCGATTGCCCCTACTGTAAATCCAGCACTGCTCATCACTTCCAATTTGTTGATGAAGATTTCCGTTCCATATCTTCTACCCATTTCGACGATTCTGTCCATCATGTTTTGCAGCTCGGTTTGGTTTTTTGATATTACCACTAGATCAATCATTTTGCCATATAAAACAAAATGTCACCAGGAATAGCTGTTATACCTACCATAATTCCTTGAACCGCATAAGTTAAAGAATATTTTTTAAACATCAGTTTATTTACAGAGATATCGCACCTGTCACAAGACGTGTCAGCATACGAGAATTGGGCCGCTTGTTAAGAAAGCACCCAGGACTATTCTTCTTACACGAATCGACTTTGCGGCTTTTTGCATTTTTCCTCTATGACAAGGTATATATATATATATAATAAATAAATGGTAGTCTTTCATCCATGCTTCCTGATCCTGCACTTCGGTTTTCAGTACCCTGTATTTTCTCTTTACCAATCCCTTCAGCCCTTCTATTTTACCATCCACGACGTCGTGCAGGAGGCACTCTTTAGAACAGAACGGGTCCAATCCAGTTTCCTTCCTTCTTCAAGATTCTTGAAAAGGCCGATCTTGAAATGTCAAGAGAACATAAAAATCTTCTCAGGCAGTTACTAATAATGATTTTTTCTATATCTTCACAGGCTGCATCAGTACGGGCAAGCGCTTTAAAAGCCTTGCTCCCGTTGTATGAGGACGTAAAATTAGCCAACAAATTAAAATTGTTCAGTCACAAATACCAACAAAGAATTCTTAGATTATCTTGGGATAAGAGCCAATGCAATCAAGGATTGCAATAAAGCTCGTCACAGCAGTGTTCAGGTGAGAGTTGAGAATAAAAATGTTCACTTAATAGACAAATGTATGAAACTTTTGATGGTGATAACCCAGTAAACACCCAACGGTAGTAGCAATCTTATATTACAGCTGTTCAAAAAAAATAGTATATTGCCAGCGATAAAGTAAAAAAATACAAGCAATAAATGAATTGTATGTTAATTCTA